AGTGCTATGAAGAAAATAAAGCAGTAGTGGATAGAGTGCATAGTGTTATTCAGGAATGTGACAAGGAGGTGACTACTGGTCTGTGATTTGAATGATGAGAAGAAGGCAGCCAGGCAAAGGCCTGAACAATGAGAGAAGAGCCTTGAATTAGGTACATCTGTGTAGTAAACAAAGGGAAATGTGGGAAGTAGGAGAGATGGTAGAAGCTAGATCACATTAGGCGATGGGAAGGAGTATGGGGTTTTTAAAAAATTGGTTGTAGAGAAAGGGAGGTTGATGGAGAAACACTGATGTGAGAGAAACATCAATCAGTTATTTCCTGCACATGCCCCAACTGGGGAGAAACCTGTAACCTGGCTATGTGCTCTGACTGCCACCTTTTGGTATATAGGATGATGCTCCAACCAACTGAGCTACACTGGCCAGGGAAGGAGTGTGGATTTTATTCTAAGTGCAATGAGAAGGTATTTAAGAAAATGAATGATATAGTCTGATACACATTTTTTTTTAAAAGAATCACTCTTGTCCTATTTGGAGGGAACAAGAACAAAAGCAAGAAGCCCATTGAGGAGGCTACAGCAGTAATTGGGGATCAAGATCATAGTAGAGTGCACTAGGGTAGTGGCAGTAGAGGTGGTGAGAGGTAATCCAGTTGAGAATATATATTCTAGAGACAGATCAGACAAAACTTGCTGACAGATTGGATGTGGGGTGGAAAAAGCACAATTAAGAATGACTCGTAGGGTTTTTGCCTGATGGCAGGGTAGATTAAAGTGTCATTAACTAAAAAGGCAACCAACTGAATGGGAGGTAATATTTGCAAACAATAGCTCTGACAAGGGGTTAATATTGAAAATATATAAAGAACTCAAATAACTCAACACCAAACAAGTAATCCAATTAAAAAATGGGCAGAGGACCTCAACAGACACTTCTCCCAAGAAGAAATACAAATGCCCAAAAGATATATGAAGAGATGTTTAACATCACTAGCTATTAGGAAAATGCAAATCAAAACGACAATGAGGTAACTGCCACCCACCACCTGTTAGAATGGCCATTCTCATCAAGACAAGTAGTAAGTGTTGGAGAGGTTGTGGAGAGAAAGGAGCCCTCAGTCACTGCTGGTGGGAATGTAAATCGATACAGCCACGATGGAAAACAGTATGGTGGTTCCTTTAAAAATTAAAAATAGAGCTACCATATGATCCAGCAATACCTTTTCTGGATTTATACCCAAAAAACTCGAAAACATTTATTCGCAAAGATATATGCACCCCATGTTCATTGTAGCACTATTCTCAGTGGTGAAATACGGAAACAATCAGTGTCCTTCAATAGATGATAAAGATGATGTAGTACATATATACTATGGAATACTGCTCAGCCATAAGATGAAACACTATCATTTGTGACAACATGGACTTTTGAGGATATTATGCTATGCAAAATAAGTCAGAAAAAGCTAAGAGCCATATGATTTCACTTATATTTGGTATATAAAACTGACACTCATAGATAATGGAATGATGGTTACCAGAGGGAAGGGGGTAAGCAGATATTATAGAGAAAAGGGGCCAAATATATAGTGTTGGATTATGATTTGACTTGGGGTGGTAGACACACAATGCAGTATACAGATCATGTATGATAGAACTTTACACTTGAAATCGATGTCATCCCAATAATTTTTTTTAAAGTGTCATTAACTTGAGAAGGGGAAAAGTTAAGGAGAAGCTAATGGGGCAAGAATCAAGAATTCTATAGGACATTTTATCTTTGAGATGCCTATGATGGACAACTAAAGATAACCAGTAGGCAGTCTGATATATGGGATTAGAGTTCAAGAGAGATGGCTAGAAATACAAATTTAGGAATCTTCAAGCTAGACATGGTATTTTAAAGGGTGAAACTGGACAAGGTGGGGAATCTGGCTAGAAGATCGAGGCCTGAGGCCTTTTCCATTTAGGCTGGAGAGTGGAGGAGGAGCTGGGAACCAACACACAAAAACCAACAAACTTGAGGAGTGGCTACTACAGAAGAAGAAGGAAGAAGGAAAACACAGAGCATGTGCAATTTTAGAAGCCAACTGAAAACTATTTCAAGAAGCAAGTGGTTAAGTGGGTCAAATGTTAATGGTTGGTCCAAGAGGATGAGGACAGAAAATTGATCATTTCCCCTGATATTCTGGCACTGATTTTCTTTTAAGTTGGCATAATACTCATATTAAAAAAATGGTCCCACAGTTCCCTAAAATTGTAATGTTCATTATTCAGAGGTGAATAAAAACTTTATTTAAAGAAGAATCATCATTCTTCAGAAAAAAAAATAATATGAATATAGCCTGGAATAGAGATGGATAGGAAAAATGAACAGAAAAAAACTAATATGACTCATCCCCCCCCCAAAAAAAAAAACTTTAAATATTTTATTAAAGAACAGCTACTTTAGAAACTAAAGACACTCAAGCACTAGTCTACTCATGGCGTTTCTATACAACTAAAGAAGTTGACATCAAATGGACAAAAAAATAGTACAGAAGATCCATGTATTTTAAAAATTCATTTCTAGAAAGTAGGTCAGATGGACTCAAAGACCTCACTGAATGTAGGTAGCAACATACAGCTTTTTGCTGGGGCATAAAGATAGGAACAAGTCCATGCAGTCAAGAAAAAGTTCTTTTGCCTCCTGGTCTAAATGCTTGCCTTTAGTCTGGGTTCAGAGAAAAGTCCTAATCATTTGAACTGGTTGTCAATCAAAGTCCCCTTCATTTTGGCTTTGTTGGCTTCTAGTTCCGCCAGCTCTTGCAGCCACCTTTTGCTCATGCCTCTGCGCTCCAGCTGTTTTTCAATCACTTTGGCATTCTGTGCATATGAGTCAGCAATCTCCCTGGCCTCAATCTCCTCTTCCTCTTCATCAATAGTAGACACAGTGACAGAGCTGAACTTGCCCATGTCTTTAGTCCGTTTGGTCATCATCACCTTCTTAGGAGGCTCTTGCTTCTGAGTATATATATTCGTTTTGCCAAAACCCTGGCCAAACTTGACTACTGCTCCATCCACAATGAAGGTCACGGGAGCATTCTTTGGCTGGGACTGGTAGAAGAGTGGCAGTCCACACTTTGCACACTTCTTCCTGTACTGTCGTTCAATGCCTTCAGGCCTGCGAAGATACATAGTCTCCTGGTCTTCTGTGTTACAAAACTTGTGGGCGTGTTTGGCAGCATCAATCACCCGGGACTGATCCCGGGGCCTCATGGGCAATTTCTCCAACTGACAGTCCAGCACCAGAACCATCTGGCCACACAAACAGTAGTAGATGTGGAGGGGCTTCTCGCCGTCCTCATATTCCTCCCGGTCTCGGGTGTAGGAGCAGACAACTGACCGGGACACAACTTTAGGCATAGTTCACAGGAGGTGTTCACAAACGCAATGCCAAAAATAAGGGTTATGCAGAAAACAAGGTGACTCACTTCTAATTGAAGGTGGGAATCAAAGTAGTAAGAAGCTTCAGAATAAAGTTAAAAGGCAAGGGATTAAGGGCAAATACAAATATTTACAAAAACCATACAAAACTGTGCAAAAGGGTTAGTAGTAATATATTAAAAATCTAGCACATTAACAATAGACAACTACCTTATTAGAAAAATGAACAAAGGATATAAATAGGAAATTCACAAAAGAAGAAATACAAATGTCCAATAAGTATAACTTAAGATATACACTGATATTATAAAAGAAAACACCTACACAATCTAATCAAGGAAATATATCTAAAGCATTCCATTATTAAAAAATGGGAATTTTTAAAGAACTAGATTAGAAGATTTGAAAATATATGTCAGTAAAGATAAATGGTGAGATGTTCACTGATTTTTTTTCTTTTCTCCTTTTATACTTTTTCCTACAGCCATGCATCATTTTGTAATAAGCTTTTAATTTTATTTACAAAGCAACTGCCTGGAATTTGGCAGTATGAACCCCAGGAGTTAACACTGGTAAAATATTGCTGATGTCACATTTTCATTTCTCAAGCAGAACTATCAATTTCTCAGATGCAGGTCATCATGTTGTAATGGCAGTTTCATTGCTCATTAGGTTGAGCACTTCTCCCATTCTAGTGTTCTGTGTGTGTGTTTTTCCCCACCTTAGCCCCTACCGCGAAAGGCAGGGGGATCAAAAATAAAACGTCTTTTGACATTGGTTGGCATATCTGTTAAAAAGCCTCATAAAGGACTGGACAAAAATCGTGCACCTATGGATGAGGACAGTGGGTGGGGAGTGAGGGCGGAGGGTGGGGCGGGAACTGGGAGGAGGGGAATTATGAGGGGGAAAAAGAGGAACAAATGTAATAATCTGAACAATAAAGATTTAATTTAAAAAAATCTCATAAAGGAGGCTTTCCTGTTATCGGCATGTTTCATTAGGGCTCCGACTTCACCCAGTACAGGAGAACCCATTGCAGTGTGGCTGCACCGTATTCCATTCTCACAGAAAGTTTTGACAGTATTACCCTGGTGTTGTTGCCTCATCACATATAAAGTGCGTCGTGAATTCAATAGCTGTTACTGTGCACACATAAAATGTGCACAGAGAACTCAGCATTCTACCTCCCATCCAACCACCTTATACTGTGTACCCCACCATCTTAAGTTTTGACTTCAGAGTGAAAAATGGGGCTCCTATATTTCCCCTTTGAGGGAGGGCGTTTCAGAGGTACGTACTGAGAAAACAGAAACGTCTCAGGTGAGGAATCCAGGTCTTCCCGCAGGAACCCCATTGGGATGTAATTCCGGGGTGTCCGCTGCCCTCCTGCCAAATCCAGGTCCCAGGTCCCCGCCTCCCTACCGGCTCTCTGTCTCGCCCGCTGAGGTAGGGCTTTTTTCAAGGCTGCCAAAGCGGAGTGAGCTAGTGTGAGAACAGTAGGAGTTGTAGCTGCAGACGCAGGGCAGAGCTTGTGGACCATGGGAAGGAGTGTGAGGTTTATTCTGAAAAACTACCCACCTCTCCGCGTCCCTGTCCCCCTTCCAGCTGGGCGAGGGGGCCAGTCCCTGGCTCGGCGCACTGAGGCTCTCGGGTGCAGGCCGCCATGAGCAAACGGAAAGCGCCGCAGGAGACTCTCAACGGGGGGATCACCGACATGCTCACAGGTCAGCCCGGCGCCGGGGCCGCCGGCTTTCTTCGTTTCCCCCAACCCCTTGCCGTCCCTGCTCCCTTTCCCGTCCCGACAGCCCGGGGGATGGGGTCGGCCCCTCGCAGCGGGTGATCTTCCGTGCGGACCTTCCTTCCGCGCCGATGGCCGGTGGCCTGTGGCTGAGGGTCGGCTCCGCTGGGGCCCCGGTCGCCGCTCGGGCTGCTGTTGGCGTGGCCCGCGGAGCCGTGGAGGGCCCCCGCCCTTGAAGGTTAAAGGCGGCGACTTCCCCTCGTGGGAGAAACTCAGGTCTCGTCTGTGGACTCG